GATTGAGTTTATTAATCTGAGATATACGTCTCATATTAATATGCCCCAATCTTCTATGCCAGACCCATTGCTCATCATTCACAGATAAGAGGCATTTTACATTTTGAACTTTAAGTTCTGAAAGGTTAATTTTATAAATGTTGTGTTTCCTCTTTCCACTGAATAGGATAGAGCCATCCTTTTGACATACAGCTTTGCAACATTTTTGATTAAAGATTATATCATAACCATTGTCACTTAATTGACTTATGGACAATAGATTATGTTTCAATCCTTCAACTAATAGAACATTAGTAATAGAGGGAAGCTTACCATTTCCAATAGTGCCAGATCCAATGATCTTGCCCTTCTGGTTCCCTCCAAACTTCACGTCCCCTCCAAATCTAAGTTCCAGGCTTTGGAACATAGACCTTTCTCCTGTCATGTGTCGTGAGCATCCAGAGTCCAGGTACCATGATTGGTGTCCTGACTTTGCTGCTAAGAACATCTGCAACAGGAATTATTTTGTCTTTAGGTACCCAGATCTTCTTGGGTCCTTTGGGGTTAGTTGGTTTGCAAGTTTGTCTAAACTTCTGTTTTGCAACATAATGTTTATTCTGACTTGCCTTTGGTTTAAACACATAAGTACTCTTTTCAGAGCTTGTGTGTTTAATGTCATTCAGATGACCAAATTTGAATTGAGAGTACAGAGGTGTCTTCCTGATGAAAAGTTTGTCAACAGGTTTTGGATTACTTCCAGATGAAGACTCATATCCAATGCCTCTTCTGTTGTTTCCACTAACACCATAGATCATGGAAGCCATCTTGCTTCTGTCTATGCTCTTAGTGAGAAACCTCTGAAAACTAGAGTCATATTTTTCTAAAATATTTTCACAAGACTTAGTTTCAGAATCAGATTCTTGTTGAGTTCTATCAAAGTCATTTTTGATTTTTAAATTTATTTCCTTCTGCTCAACAAGTTCTGTTTTCAGAAGATCAATCTCAGATTCAAGATTGCTTTTCAGCTTCTTGTATTTGAGTTTGATGTTGTTGTAACTTTTAAGAACTTCTGTTAAAACTTTAATGAGTTCTTCTTTGGTAAGTTTGGCCATTACCTCTTCTGCATCATCATCAGATTCAGATTCTGATTCATATCCAGAGGTACCTTCTTCTTGATCCTCTGTCCTGGCCATCAATGCAACGTTTGCACATTCTTCTTCTGATTCAGAAGATGACTCACACTCATCTGAGTCATCCCATGTTGCCATCAAAACCTTCTTCTTCTTGTTGAACTTCTTCTTAGGTTTTTCTTTCAGAAGTTTAGGGCAGTCATTCTTGTAGTGCCCAGGTTCCTTGCACTCATAGCACACCACTTCTTTCTTGGCAGATCTTCTGTGACTAGAAGATTCTTTTCTGTTGTCAGATCTTCTGAAGTTGTTAAACTTCTTTCCCTTGTGCTTCCAGAGTTTGTTAATCCTTCTGGACAGCATGGACAACTCATCTTCTTCTTCAGAAGAAGATTCTTCAGAGCTTTCTTGAATAACCTGCAAAGCTTTAGCAGTTTTGTTAGATTTTAAAGCTATGGATTTACCTTTATCTTTCTTCTGGGGTTCATCTTCCTCCAGCTCAATTTCATGGCTTCTCAAGGAGCTGATAAGTTCTTCTAAGGAGATCTTGTTCAGATCTTTTGCCATCTTTAATGCAGTCACCATTGGTCTCCATCTGGTGGGAAGACTTCTGATGATTTTCTTGACATGATCTGACGTTGAGTAGCCCTTGTCCAGAACTTTCAGACCAGCTGTAAGAATCTGAAATCTAGAAAACATAGTTTCTACATTTTCAGAGTCTTCCATTTTAAATGCCTCATACTTCTGTATGAGCGCCAGAGCCTTTGTCTCTTTAACCTGAGAGTTTCCCTCATGAGTCATTTTGAGTGATTCAAACATGTCATGAGCAGTATCTCTGTTAGTAATCTTCTCATACTCAGTATGAGAAATTGCATTAAGCAATATAGTTCTGGCTTTGTGGTGATTCTTGAAGTCTCTTTTCTGCACTTCAGTCATTGATTTTCTATCAATCTTTTTGCCATCCTCTCCAGTAGGATGTTCATATCCATCAATGACCAAATCCCAAAGATCAACATCATACCCAAGAAAAAAACTTTCTATTCTATCTTTCCAATAGTCAAATTTTTCTCCATCAAACATTGGAGGTTTGGTACTGATCCTATCCCTCTCTTCATATTTATTGTTGATATTTGACATAGAATTATCAGCCATGATAACAAATAAATATATAGATCAAAGTATATCTCCTCTGGATCTTTACTGACACTGTTAAGTGATAGCACACTCAGAACCGGAGCTCTATTGCCAACTGAAGGTGAGATATTACTTAGAAGGGGGGGGGGGGGGGTTGAATAAGTATGGAAAATTAATACTTGAAAATAATCACACAGTTATTTTTATCCTGGTTCGTTAAACAAGTACTCCAGTCCACCCTTCCAGAGTGATTTGCCTTTCTCAACAAGGTCTTAATCCACTATTAAATCAAACTGATTACAATAGTATCACCTAAGAACTACAGTTCTTAGTCTTCTCAAGAGCTACAGATTCACACTGAATCCTCTTAAGGAAAATCCTTTACAAACAATGTAAATTAAATACAAGAGTTTTTAATGCTTCTATAAAGCTATAATCACAACAGTGATTTTTCTCTTAAGTTTTAAGTACAAAGATTCTATGAAGAATAAGAATGAGAGCTTAATAAAATGTGATTTCTTTTCAGCAAGTTTGTAGCACTGAAGAATGAAGTGAGAGACTCCTTTTATAGGCAACTGAATTATCCACGTTGAAAAGAGAGTCCAAAAGGTCTGAGCCTTTTTGTCTTCACATGTACTGACCTTTCCTTGAAATAGATGGCACAGATAAATCCTTTTTGTCTGTGTAAGTGTGTCTAGCACAAATAAGGAAAGAGACGTTGAATGATTCCAACGGATACATTCTTGAAAACACTTCTTCAGTTTCAGCAAGTTCTTCAGAGTCTGAATGGATCAGAGTCTTCTGATGAGTTTCAGAACTATGCTGTATCAGAGTCTTCTGCAGCTTGTGTGCTTCTAGCGTGTTGATCATCAGAGCATCTTGACACAAAACTTCAGTACTTGGCAGCGTAGGTACTTTCAGAAACTTCTGTAGATCAATGCTTTGAGAAACTCTTCAATCAATATTCTTCTATACATCTGATGCTTCAGCTTCAGATGCTTCTGATTATCTTCAGATGCTTCTGACTATCTTCAGATGCTTCTGACTCAGAATGTTCTGGAGCTTCTTGCTTCAGATCCTTCTGATTATCTTCAGATGCTTCTGACTATCTTCAGATGCTTCTGACTCAGAATGTTCTGGAGCTTCTTGCTTCAGATCCTTCTGGAGACTACGCTCAGGATCTTCTGTAAGGAGCAAACAGATTCTTCTGTAAGGTGCATCTGGCGCTTCAGAGTCAGAATAACTTCTTGTATTCAAGGCAGATTTGCTTCTAGAGAGTTAATATAATTTTAATCTGCAGCAAAACTCTCAAACAAATTTTAGAGTATATAATTCTTAAATATGAATTTCCTAATAGTTATCATCAAAACAAAGAGTAATTATTAAGAACCAATATGTGTTCTAACAATTGTAATAGAGAGAAATCCACTAACTTTAATCCTTGATTCAGTAAGTAACAACAAGGATCGGGGGACAACTATTCTGGCTGACCAAAGGCATGAAATGATTGGTCCAATTACGAAGACCCAACCCAAAACTCTACTAAGTAGGACATATGGTCAAATGGAGCTTCCTCGAGATACGACGCACTTGATTCTAATCACCTAAGCATCCCTTACAATTAAATATGATTAGAAGGTTTATCCTGTCACACGTCTAATTAAACTAGACTGATTTCAACTACATGCCATATGTAAATTCCACCACATGCTGATTGCATGTATGGTCTCACTCTCAGTCTCAAACTTTATCTCTCAAACTTCATTGATTTGAGCTTTAAAATGTTAATCTTGCAGGTCTTCAACTTCGTCGTACCAAGAGTTCTTGTTGTTGCACTGAAAGAGTTTATTCCTTCAACATCACATATTTCTTGTTCCACCTCGAAAAATTGTGGATAAGTCAAAATTGGATGAATGAGAGTGAAATGAAGTGGTGGGTATTATATTCCATTACTTATCAACATATTTGTTTCTCTCCAATTTGGACGAAATGAAGAATTTGCCTTATTTCGTTCTAAAATACCAAAACGATTGAATAAAATTTTCATTCCAGTCCATTCCTTTTCATTTCACTCCATTCATTTAATTCAAGGATAATTGCAAAGTGACTATTATTACATCTTTAATCATTAATAATTAATGATAATATCTTCCTTTTCCAATTAAATAAAAAAAATATAAGAGTAATACTAACTTGTGTTCTTGGAGCATAAGTTAAGAGATAAATATAAATTTTTTTTTTGAAAATTTGATATTAAATTTATTAAAAACTTACAATTAATAATTTTATTGAGTTTTTCGATACAAATTTTTTATTTGTGAATTTTTTAACATATGCTATTTAGCATTATCCAAAATATAATTAGGATATAATTAGAATAATTAAGAATGTATTTATGAAAAAACAAGGGTAAAAATTAAGAAAGGAGATACATTTTAAGGATAAAAAAGGTATTTAAAAAATAAGGGTAAAAACGTCTTTTTACTACATTTTATCCCCTTTCAAAGTGACCCATTTTCACCCAATACAACTATACAAGTGATGCACACTAGGGGCAGATCGGAAATTCCAGTTTCTCATAACCTTCTCGAATCCAGAATCTCGAAACCCTAATCTAACCCTAACATTGGCAGAAGGTACAGACCCACCAATCTTCCCCATTCACAATCCCTCCCATCTTCTTCTTCTCGTAACTTGATTATCGATTCTACTTCTTCATATAATTTATATATTTATTTGAAATTTTGATGCCGATACGAGATGCCTCCGAAGCAATCAAAAGCTGATGTAGCCAAGAAACAGAAGGTTGTTGAAGACAAAACTTTTGGTCTCAAGAACAAAAACAAAAGCAAAGCAGTTCAGAAATATGTTCAGAATCTTAAGTCTTCCGTGCAGCCCAAAACCGACCCCAAAGTCGATGCAAAGGTAACATTTTTAATTATTGTTATTCGATTTTATTTTATCTTAGGGTTTTCTGCTTAATCTGTTATGTTTTGATTGTAACAGAAAAAGAGAGAGGAAGAGAAGGCAAAAGAGAAGGAGCTGAATGATTTGTTCAAAATCGCTGTCAGTCAGCCTAAAGTCCCAGCTGGTAATCATTTTATTCACAAATTTTAAATTTTTTGGGATTATAATTAATGGGTTTATGTTATTCAGTGTTGTTGTTTGGAACTAATATATATCTGAATTTTGTTAGGTGTTGATCCCAAGTCTATATTATGTGAGTTTTTTAAAGTGGGTCAGTGTGCTAAGGGTTTCAAATGCAAATTTTCCCATGATTTGAATGTTCAGAGGAAAGGAGAAAAGATTGACATATACAGTGATAAGCGCGACGATGGTATGCAGTTCATTGATGCTGATTGTTTGTTTGTTACTTAATGTTTTGGTTCTTCTGATGACTTTTCTTTTTCATTTTTTTCCTGTTGTTTTGCTCTTATGTTGTTTAGATACAATGGAGGAATGGGATCAAGCGACATTGGAGAAAGTGGTGGAGTCGAAACAAAATGAGTATAATCAGAACAAACCAACTGACATTGTATGATTTATTAATATATATATATATATATATATATTTTTTTTTTTTTTGAATTATGTTAAATTCTTTTGCATGTTAGATTGTTGTTCGTTGTGTGCTTTATTCAAATCATATTTTTGGAAGTGCTTATGGATTTGGAAATGACTTCTATCTGTTGTTTATGCACTTTGTTTAGGTATGTAAACACTTTTTGGATGCGGTTGAGAGGAAGCAATATGGTTGGTTTTGGTCATGTCCCAATGGTGGTAAGAATTGTATCTATAGACATGCACTTCCACCTGGATATATTTTAAAATCCCAAATGAAGGCTTTGTTGGAGGAGGAGTCTGATAAAATGCCAATTGAGGAGGAGATTGAAAAGCAGGTGAGCTGTTTTTTCTGTTATACAAAGCTTTGCCATTTAATTATTGAATCAGGGTTTCTAATAGAATACATTACATGGTTTAGCGTGCCGAAGTGAAAACTACAACCCCTATGTCTACTGAGTTATTCCTCCAATGGAAGAAGAAAAAGATGGACGAGAGAGAGGCTAGTTTGGCTGCCCAACAGGCAGAGAGAGCTAAGAATGACCGCATGAGGTATGTTCATTATCTTCTCCTCACCATTCGCACATGAATGGGTATGAATGGGCTCTTCCCTTTATTTAAGGAAAAAGTGAAAGAACTGCATGTTGTTGAGCATGGTTTTTTTTAATAAGTGTATCACAGATGGTAGGAAGGCTGATGTACTTTTTTCTCTCTTTTTTCCCTAATGTTGTATTGTCTCCTTAAATGCAGTGGGCGTGAGCTGTTTCTGTCAGATGCTAGCTTGTTTGTGGATGATGCTGAAGCATATGATAAGTACCATAGACAACCTGAATCTGATGAAACTGAACAGAATGTAAGTTTTGTTCTCTATGCCTTTTTTTCTCTGTATAATTTAAATTCCTTTTTTTGTGTGGATATGGTTTGAAGCTGTTATATGACTAGAATTTTGCAGCTTTATTCAACATGAAAATTTCTCATGGAAAATGTCTATGCCATAATTTCCTTTTCTTGTTGTGATAATGTAAACAAACCTATTTTTGAAGTTGTATACATTTATGTACCGTTCAACTTTGCTTTTGGGTTCTTAGGTTAGGCATTGGGATGTGTTTAGCCCATTCCCTTCCCAATTAGTAACAATTGGGATTTAGGGTTGCATGAGCTTGTGTAACTTTGGATGCATGAGCAGTCGCACAACAAATGGCTCTTAGGAGTTGATTCTCCTGCATTGGGCTCTTAGGTGTAATCAATGTGTCATCTCTAGGCTTGCCAAGACTTGTTGAGCTGACAGCTTGTCGTAAGTTGTCTTGCAAATGTGTGTTTGAATTCCTGCTCAAATCCCACTAGCATGGCTTTGGAAAAAGGTACAAAAGACGAGCTATTGGCCGTAACATGGTTTGGGACTTGTCCAATCCTTGAACAAAACAAACATGTTGTGTGTGAGATTATTTTGTATGACTGTTGATCGTAGTATTAGGATTGCCTAAAGAAGAAATAGGTTAGGATTGCCTAGAGAAGAAATAGGTTATGATTGTCTATATTTGAGCTATCGATGATAAGTAAGAGGGGTTCTTGACTAGTGTGACCTTGAGGACACAAGGTAGAAACAGACAATTTTCCTTAACAATAGGATTGCACCAAAGTTTTAACCCTAAGCCCTTATCCTTTTACTTTAGTTTTGGATGTACTTACAGAACACAACAAAGAGCTACCATCAAAATGTATGCCTTTTGTAGATGATATAGTTATACTTGGAGAGTTAAGAGGGGAATTAAATGTGAGGTTGGAGACTAGCCTTAGAGGCATATGATTTCCTTCTGAATGATTTCCTTCAGAGTAGAAGGAAGCCAAAGTATATGGAATATAGTTTTAGCAAAAGACAAAGCGTTTCTAGCCTAGAGGGGAAAGTTGGAGATTATATCATACTAGTTGTTACACAATTTAAATATCTCGGGTCAATAGTTCAAGACGATGCATGAATATAAGATGTAAACCATCAAATTCAAACTGAGTGGTTGAAATGAAGTAGGGCCTCACGTGTTTTATATAACACAAAAGTACCGCTCAAACTGAAAATAAATTAAGTGTAATAGGTACTAGTATATGATTAGAAATGAAAACACGAAGATAAATTAAATTTAGCAGAGATGAAGATGTTGTGTTGGATGTGTGGTAAAACTAGACGAGACATGATTAAAAAGGACAACATTAGAGAGAGTTTGGGTAGAGCGCCTATAAAAGATGATGGAAATTAGGCTTAGATGGTTTGTACATGTAGATGGAAGTCAAGTGGATTCTATATTGAGAGAGTAGATTAGATGAAAGGTAGTCAGACCGCTAGGGGTAGAGGAAGACCTAGAAAAACTAAGAGAAACTATTGGGAAAAATCTTGAGATTAACGAGTTGGATATAAGTATGATGGTATTGGATGGAACATTATGGTGCCGTTTGATTCATGTAGCCAACCCCACGTAGTAGGACAAAGTTTGGACGTTGTTGTTCATTATTGTTCTAATAAGAAGCCCCCTTAGTTTGTAAGGTAGTTGCAAAGTGTATTGCCTAATATTTCTTAATACATGGAAATTGTTTTGTATTGTATTAAGTTTACAATTGTAGCTAGTTCCTAGATTCAAGCACATTTAAGTGATATAAAATGTATCTTTAGGTTGGTTCCAAGTACAATAGTATACAATTGCAGCTAGTTCTTGGTTCCAAGCACATTGCAATTGCACTTAAATTGCGGATAGTATTTTTTCCCCATATAATTATGACCTTCCTATATGGAGGAATTCAAAAGATGTAGAATGGTTTTGGAGGGTTTTTGACAAATTATCCAATTCATTTTCCTCTTTTGTAAGTCTTATGAGATAATTTAAGATACTCATGAGATACGAAACTGATCCTACAAGGTAAACTAAAATACTATCATAAAATAGAGATATTATAGGATATTTTTTAATATTTTAATGATAGCCAATTTTAAGTTTTTTTTTTCACGGGCATATTTATTATGTTTTTGTTTCCAAGGAAGGGTAGTGGCTTCTTGGGTAACTCTTGTCTCATTTCCCCTCTTATTTGAAGTGCAGTGTCTATTTTATTTTTGATATACTTTTGCCATATATTATGGTTTGCTAATCATTGGATCCAATTTCAGGGGACCGGGAGTGCTGCTAATAATGGTCCTAGCACCTCAGCAACAGGTGGCGCTGATGATGAACTTCCTGATGATATTGATGACGATGATGATGAATTGGACTTGGATGAGTTGGATGAACTGGAAGCTAGTTTAGCCAAGACATCAATCCAAATTAAGGAAGCTGAAGCTTAATCCTGAGACCTTGATGTGATATTTTTATGCATCTGCTGAACAATATATCATTTGCTTCTTGCCACTGGCATTCCTTCCATTTGAGGAAGTTTTTCATACGAAGCCTTTGATGATGAAATCACTATTTGCAGCATTGCATTTGGTATGAATGATGACAGTTTGGTACGATTCGGTTTTCTGTAGTTAGGTCACTCGTTGATCCTGTGACTGTGACTGTGACACTTTTTTGTTGTTTGAATATGGGTAGTCTTTGTATAGACTGTACCTAATTTTTGTTATTTGAGTTTCCCTTCCTTGAGAAGGCTGCTTCAAATTAGTTTTGTTGTGTGATTTTCTTGAAGCGGTTGCCGCATAAAGTGATTGCAGTTGGGTTGTTTATGTTGCAGCTAGATATGTCACTAGGTGCTAGTTTGCGGTTGAAAGAAAATGAACGCAAATGAAGAGGAAATCAATAAGAGGAATTAAGATCTTTTAAGCTTTCCTCATTCAAAAAAGTAAAGGGAAGAAGAGGAGATAGAGAAAATGAAGGGAGTTTCATCCCTGAAGTTTCTGCTGATTTATGAAAGTCAAGATGATATAATAGAAAAAGTTTGGTTTGCAAAATATAATAAGAAAATGATTGTATCATTTTTAAATTTGACTTCATACCAGTAAAGGTAAATTGGTTAGGGATTGATATAGGAGGAGAGCCTGTTTCTTATAGATTTTAAAACAATATTTTTCTTGGTTTAAAAAAATTATATTATCGAAATTTTTTTATAAAATTGAAGGAATTTCGAACTCAGTTTTTATAAATTAAATGGTTAATTTTGAAATCCAATGACATCTTAGTATCAATAACTTACAATTGTAAGAAACTTTTTTACCACAAGCCAACAAGTGATTTCACCATTTGGCACATCAGCATTTTTTCTGCACTACATCTAAATTTAGTTATATATTTAGACTAATTTTTGCTATATGAGGGAATAATTAAAGTGCAAGGAATTAATTTAGACCAGGAAAAAGCAAGGATATAATCAGTTGTCTTCTAATTTATAATTTGGATATTCAAAAAACCGATCCAAATTAAATCGCATGAAATTGGATTGGATCGGGTAGGATATTTTTAATAAAGAGAATTTCTTATAGCACCCTTAATACAAGTGAAAGTTGAAATATTCCAAAGATATATCTCCAAAATATTTTGGAGCATAAGTCGCGCCAAACTCTTCTCCTTCATCATTTTGCAGTTTCTTCAAACACAACTTCAACACTCTTCTCAATATAACCCTACACCAAATCAAGTTTTACATACAAGGGTCACAGGAACATCAAAGATCATCTCTAATATTGGAAACAACATTCGAATCATCAATTTCAAGTAAGTTTTTCGTGTTTTTGTTAAATGTTTGAGTTTTAGTTTAAACGGATAAGAATCAATGATTAGGGTTAGAAATGTGTTGGAATCACATGTAACATAGTTTAGACTTAGTGTATAACTTGTTTGTTGGCTGAAAATGGCGATCAAATCATGTTTTTTTCAACTTGCATGAGATATGTTCGCCACTGACGCGACCTCTGTGTTGTAGAACATTTTGGAGATGCATTTTTGGAATTGTTTAGACTTTAGAAAATTTTGGAGATGCATCTCCGGAATTGTTCGACGTTTATGTTTAATGGTATTTTCGGAGATGCATCTCCGGAATTGTTCAACGTTTATGTTTAATGGTATTTTCGGAGATGCATCTCCGGAATTGTTCAACGTTATAGTTTTATGGTGTTTCTGGAGATGCATCTATGAAATTTCCTATAATATATATATTTTAATTAAAACTTTCTTACTTTGCGTGCACTAATGATATGATTTACTTTACCTTACAAGCGTAATGACTGACAGAGTTGACAGACTGAGATATGGCAGGGTTACTCAGCACGCATCCGTCGGTGGGAGCGAACCCAGCAGGTTCTGGAGGCTCCAGGTACATCTGGTCAGACAAACATGTCTACTTCTGGGGAAACATCTACTTCTGGGGCTCGTGCCTCACCTTTATCCACTCCACATTCTTCTTCTTCACGTAGGAGACACGATCCACCATTTGACACATCACTTCCCTATCCTCCCGCAGGCGTCAGGATTCACTAGTGACACCTCCTATGGATGATGCTGTTGTTTCAGACCCACCTCTAGAGGGCGATGTTGCTGAGGATGCCGAGGCAAACGGTTTTGGAGGAGGTCCATTTGATTTTTCCTTACTTCCTCTGTATCTAGACCATACTGCCAGATATATATGGGATGAAAAGGTAGTATTAGTTGGAATTTTGATTTATTTTTTACATTAATTTTAATTGCTGACATTGATTATTTCTAACATTAATTATTTCTGACATTGATTATTTATGGCAAATTTCAGGAGTGTGATCCCTAGAATTTTCTTAACTATGGGAGGAAGATTACTGCATTGCCTTAGTAGGAAAATGAGTGGTTTTATACGGTTCTTTTCTTATCTGTTCTGAAGTACCTATGCATGACTGATTACACTCTAGTCAACCACGAGATGCTTAATGCACTCGTAGAGAGATGGCACTCTGAGACTTCTTCGTTTCATCTCCCACATGGTGAAATGTCTATCACACTGGATGATGTCTCGTGTTTGTTGTATCTTCAGATCAAGGGGAGATTCCTCAAACATGGGAGGATTTCCAAAGACGAGGCAATCGAGATGATGGTAGAGCATCTGATGGATGATCTAGGGAAGGCGATGGAGGAGGTGGATAGGACTAGGGCTGCTCATGCTAGATTTGAGTTTCTGAAGACCATATATGATGAATATATCCTTAGGGCACAACAGGCTCATGGTGATGATGAGTAAGTGGCGGTACATAGGGCTCGTGCTTTGAAGGTATACTTTCTTTTTTGGTTGGCACTTCCATTTTTGTTGGACATGAATGCCACTTATACTAACGTTGCCTACCTATGGTACTTCTTGAATCTACAGCAGATCCATGAGTACAATTGGGGGCGACTTGCATGGTCTATCTTTACTCAAAGTTGAGAGAGGAATGTCTGTGGAAGACGAAGCAGGTCACAGGCTGTGTGACACCACTGGTGGTAATAATTCTTGATCCTTGAATGTTTTTGTCATTTTCATTTCATATTTGCGAAAATATTGCCGATGATTCGTTTGTTCCAATTTTTTTCAGGCTTGGATCCTCCAGCACTTCCCACACATCGTTGGCTGGGCGAGTGTCGCTGAGTATACTGAGGATATGCCACGTGCCTGTGCTTTTACCCTGCTTAGAGGAAACCAGGAGGTCGAGTCTTTCAGAGTTTATCTTAACCTTTTAGTTGCTGAGGACATGTACTTCAACAACTATGTGGATCACCATCAGACACGACTATATGAAAAGATATTTCTATACTCTGGATGGTTGGCCTGCGGATCACGTATCACTGCTCCTCATCTGCCCGAGCACGTCATGCGATAGTTCGGCTACACCCAGACCATCCCTATACACCCTGTTGTATCTGCTCCTCCTACCTTGACTCGTAGACAGATAGATGAGATGTTTGCTGATTATGAGAGTCATTTAGTACCAAAGGAGGCACAAACTATCATAGCCCCGAATGTCTGGATCTATGTCGAGGAGTACATCAGATGGTTCTTCAGGGTGTCACATTTATACATGATGCATGTTGCTCCAGAAGATCCGTCGAGACCAGCTCATTAGGAGATATTACAGGAGGAAGAGGCTCATCTAGATCATACTGATGATGTCTTGTCTAGGTTTGGTTTCATAATAGAGATTGCGCAGGCAGACATTAACAAGGGTATCTTCCTTGATGGGTCTGGTGTCAATTGAGTCCTAGATGCCATCATGGTAGAGGCACATGGGGAACTATTGTATTAGAGACATCGTCGAAGGACAGGGGGGATTGATGGACGAGGAGGCCGAGTAGGCAGAGGAGGTAGAAGATATGCTGCTAGACACATACAATAGTAGTATGTTATTATTTTGTTGTAGTACTATACTCTCTACTTTATTTTTACGATTTTATTACTCTTTGAATCTCGATTGTACGAAATTTTCTACATATATTGCTATATTTCATCCAGTATTAGTCTCTTATTATTTGTACATCTATTTTTTATTTTGGATCGTGCATTATACTTCATATGAACACAAATACACAACTTATAGTAAAAAATACTTGTTCTGATACACTTCGGAGATGTATTTCCGGAATATTACTAGAGATGCATATCTGGAACAATTCAAATGTAAATGGCTTCTGACTGACATGCTTTCAATGTTTAAAATGGTTTTGGAGATGTATCTCCGAAATATGTCAATGTTTATTCAGAAATAGGTGTATCCAGAGATGCATCTCTGGAATCACTATGCCAAAATTGATTTTTGGTAGCACTAAATAGACAACGCTTTTATCCCAAAGCGCTGCTATAAGTTAAAGGAAAACTATGAAAAAAGCGCAGCTAAAGGCTATTTTTAGAAAGCGCTTCTGAACAACGCTGCTAAAGGCCTTACGTAGGCTACACTTTAGAAAACACTGCTAAAGGCTCCCTTTAGAAAGCGCTGCTAAAGGTCATTCCTAAACTCAACCATAGAAAGCGCTGCTATAAGCCTATGAAAAGAAAACACTTTTGATGAAAAAGCGCTGCTAAATTGAGTACATAAGAAAGCGCTTTCTAAAAGCGCTGCCTTAGGTATTTAATTTTTGAAAAATAAAAACAGAAACATGTGAATACTGTAGAACCCTAACTTTCTGAAAACAACTTTGATACTCTCTCTCTCTCTCTCTCTCTCTCTCTCTCTCTCTCTCTCTCTCTCTCTCTCTCTCTCTCTCTCTCTCTCTCTCTCTCTCTCTCTCTCTCTCTCTCTCTCTCTCTCTCTCTCTCTCTCGTTTCTACTCCCTCCGCTGTATCTCCCTCACACAAGGCTACTCCCTCTCTTTAATTTCCACCCCTTTGTCGTAACTTCCTCCGTTGGTCGTATCTCTG